AAGGGTATTTCATACAACAGGATCCACAATTCTAAAGTACCAAAGCCAGGGAGAGTTGCATCACTCAGCAAGACTTTTGAAAAAGTTAGCAGAGATGCGAACCATAAAGGTAACCAGTGAACACAATATTATGCCTTCGCCTTCACCTATTTCTGAAGGCCTAGGACACAGGTAAGGTTAGTACTCATGATCCTGGTCCCTGTCCTTGATATACATAGCTAAGCTTTTCCCATCCAAACAGGAGTAATATATTCTTTTAACGTGCCAGTAGGAGAAAAAAAAGATGTGCTCTCATTTTGTCCAGCAGCACAGGGTTACAGCACAGTAACCCAGAACAGAGAAATCTGAAAGCCAGTCTCTACCCTGCCAGGAGCGGTTCAAACTGTAATCTCTCAGCAGGCTCCACATTGCACTGGGAAGGTGGATCAACTCATAACTTCTCATTTCAGTGGCAATCTTCAGAACATGGAAGAAAAAATAAAAAGTAAAGCTTTGCTGCACAGAGCAGAACCAGCAGTGTGCATGCTTCTCTAAGGAGAAGGGCACCCAAATGAGAGAGGAGTCCTGGTTTCCAGTTCCTAATAGCATTTAAAATTTTAAATGGAGGAAAATACAAAATAGTTTTTGGAACACAGGCCAGAACGCAAGTACTCACCTCCTCTTCCTCCAAAGAAAATAACTGGCCTAGTATCTCTCTTTGGCGCAATTAGACTTTACTCATCTTGTACACAAGGAAACACGGATTTTTAGGGTTTGGGGTTTTGTTGGTTTGTTGTTTGGGGTTTCTTAAAGGAGACATCAACAAAACCTCTTCCTCCTCACTCCTTTGTGTTTCTGAACAAAAGGTAGAGTCACCACAGGGTTTTGGTCTGAGTCCAATCCCATAGGTGTGCCTGAGGTGTGGTTTGAACATGCCTTTGGACAAGTGAATACCTAATTTACAGATTGCCTAATTTATGAATAGTAAACAGATTTAGATGCCAAGATGCTCAGTTGTGACAAGATTATGGAAGATCTGAGTGAGAACAAAACTTCAAGGTGTTTGGAAAACTTTACTAGTGAAAACCTAGAGACCTGTAAAATTCAGCCAACACATGGCTACAATTTTACTTGGAGCTAGACAGCCAAAATCCATTTAAATCACAGTTTTGACTCCTCTGTATTATTTTATGGATCTCATCATATACCAAAATAACATACATCAAAAATCTTCTTGGAGATACCCGCAAATATCCTTTTTAATGGAACTCTAAAAGGACTATAGAAGAACAAGGCCACCTATTTTTATTTTAAAAATCCACTTTAAATGGATCTGTCGTACTCCAGGAACTGTTTTCTTCTGTTTTAACATAAGCATAATAGTCTAGCACCATTTATCTTGTGGTACCAGGCTGTCATTATGGGTAAAATAATATTAGCTTCAAAACTGAAGCTTTCTCACATACTCCGAGATTATTAAACACATAGTTTTAAGGACAAAGCATTTAAGTACCCACCTTTATGCCTAATTTGGCTACATTTTTATCATGAAGATGAGGATTGCCCATAGTATCTACTAAGCTTCACTCTCTAAATATGTCTTTATCAGTCTTGAATCTCATGGGTATATCTAATTTCTAAGGATCTATATTTAATAAAATATTAATACTACTAATGATGATTTTATAATACTCAGCAATGCTCCTCAGAACATCAGTGCAGAATAAGAAAACTAATTCAGTGATTTTAATGACAAAATGTAACAGTTGGAAAGAGTCCAAAGTGTGCAACGCTAAACTGCTGAAAGAATCCGAGAAGCCTTGTTGCTTCCACATAATACTAAATATATGACAACCGCAGAGCACTGAAACTTTTTACATATATGATTATATATTCTGAAAGCGGCTATAATTAAGAATTTATATTATACACAAAAAGTATGGTAAGAGAATATTAGGACTATAAAATTAAACACTCAGGCATGAGGTATGCCAAAATTAAAGTGGCTTTTGCATTACAAAGGAATTTTGTGGCAGCAGTAGGGGTTGAGAATTCAATCCTTCAGGGCAGCACACAGCTGCATTAACCGTGAGTCTCCTTCCTCTTATTTTGCATTTCACATCTTCAACTCCTGCAACAAATCAACAGGGGAATGTCCCACGAATGGTTTCAAATTATTACAGACACCCATTAACTGAGTTAACAAAATAACAATCTGCAATAGAAAGTTGTTTTCCCCAGGTGGACCACCCACACAAGTGAATGAGATACCTTCCCAATGGATATAGCCGACTTTGCTTGTGCCAGAGTCACACTGAAACACTGAAATCTTTCACTTCAGATTCTACTACGTGACTGAAGGTGCGCTTCCTACACCTCTTCTTATTCTGAAAGACAACTAAATTCAAAGTAATAATACCAATACTACTAATAGTAATTCACTATTAGTAGAAGATGTGAGAGACACTTGAATGGTTTGGCCTCTGTCTGTCTGTAGTCTCACCGATATTTTTTTTCCCCTCCAGAGATAAAGCTACCTTAAAACAGCTACTGCTCTTCCAGCAGCCTGGTGACTCTCTCCTGTTCTTGTGCCACCCCTTCAGTGGTGCCAGTACAGCTTTCTACAGGGTGAACCAGCTCAATTAACATAGAAAGGTTAATACTTTGCAAAATAAATAGAAGGTAAGAACGGCAGGAACAACTACTACTTACTGTCTTTGCTACACAACTATCTACTAATACCATCTACCCTCAGAAACATTTCTAGGTCTGCTTTATCATGTGGCCTTTACAATTTCCAGCATTCATATGGAAACTAGTACTTTAAAAAGGCTGAAACACTAAAATGCACTTTTCTTTACTTCAAACACCTACCAAAGTATTTTCCTCAAGAAAAACTAACTCATTACAATGTGGTGAAAAGGAAGGCACCTTAGCTGCAATTCCTCTTCTTCCTAATTATATTGTGTATTTTGTGTTAGAAACTGTATTACAGTACTAATTTTCTATTCTAAGAGGAGAACTATCCATATTCTTCAATCTACAAATTTAGGCTGAAGCTGTGAGGCTTTAGACAGCAAAGTACACACACACATATGTCCCGAAGGGGTGCATAGCTAAAAAAGGAGCTGTTTTCAAATGATGAAATTACCTAGAGAAGAAAATTGCATTTTTTATTCACAACTATTTTCAACACAAGTCTATTATTTTCAGTAAAAAATTCACAACTTTTCAGGTTGATAAAAACAATTCCTATAAAGAACACGTGGGGAGGGTGGAGGTCAATGTCTCTACTACTAATTTATATCTTCAACTTTTTGCACAAATTTATAATAGCCCCCCCCCCAAAAAAAAGCTCTTGAAAGCAGCAATTTCCTTGGCAAGACCAATCCATCCATGAAGATTCATTACTTCAGTGAAATTCTATACTAACAAGATAATTAACCAACACTACAAATTAAATTTAAAGTAATTACCACTCAGTTTTTAAATTGCTGAGTACAGAAAGAGTAAAATTAGCTACAACAGAGTGTTTACGTGGTCCTTAGAGCATTAATAAAGAAAACACTCTCCGCTTTCCTCACATCCTTTCATTTTATCTACGTGTGTTAAACTTTTCTATGTAAGAACATGAAGCGGAAGAAATAAAAAACAAGACATGGCTGAATGACATCTTAAACTATTAAATATCAACCCGGGAGTTATTTTTTTTTACTGTTTGGACTGCTTCTTATGAAGAGGTAACTCTTGCCTTACCAATGACCTTAAAAACGCTAGCACCCACATTCAACCAAAAAACCCTAATCCAAACACATAATGTTTGGTAACCCAAAAGCAGTGCCTGTAACACTTTTGAGAAAGTATCTTAAATGGATATATGAAAATCAATAGTTTATTTTAAAAAAATATTGCAGTTAGTTGTCCTGTCAAGTAGAATTCCTTTATTATAACAATCAAATGCTTTCTAATTTCAAATAACAGGCCCAAACCCAGAGATATTCATAGACTTCTATTCACAGAATAAAATCAATTTTATTCCTGTAAGATTTAACAGTGTGAAACAACTGCAACTGCTCAAATTGATTTTTACTAGGACTATCACAGTTGAGGTGTATTTCTCAAGTACTTCTTTCACTACGGTATCTGCTTAAACAATCCTCCTGCCTTCTGGCACACCTGTTACCCAGAGAAATGATGTAGGTTAAATATAACCACATTAAAAAAAGAAAAAAAAAACAAAAAACACAAAGGTAGTTAATTTTACCCTGGATCATTTCCCCAGCCCAGTTACGGGACAGGGTTCCATGAACCGCTGTGCTGGTACAGCTGAGGGGGGCAGCAAAGAGGTGCGAGCTGGGAGAAAGGAATGGAACAGGCCTGTTTAAGTCAACAGTGCCACTAAAAGCACTGCTTGTCAAACAATGTCATCAAAAAAAAATACTTGCTTGAAGAATCCTTTAGCGGATCAGGATCTATGATCAGCCACTCCACCTCTACATGCCACTTCATATCCCAGCTAGAACTACAGCTGACTCTCCTTGTGCTTCTTAGTGGGTCAACTTTTAACATGTACACGAAAACAACGGCCTTATAAAAATCTCACCACCAATACATTTGATTAGTTTACAAGCACTCCGCCTCATAAAAAAAAAAAAAACCCAAACAAAAAACCCCAAACATTTCAAATTTATATCCAGGCCTAAAGTACCCAGAATTTGAAAGTGAAGCCAACCAAAAATCCACATCTACCTTAACAGAAACACAAAAATGAAGTACCACGGATTTCCAGTCCCTTGCTGGTCATATTTCACACACGCACGCACAGAACATTTGACACGCTGATTTTAAGGACGCACGTAAGTCGGGAGCGGATGGGGGAAGCTACTGAGAACTCCTCACATTTAAGAGCACGAACACGTTGTAGGCACCGCGATAAAAGTTACCACAGGAGAGGGAGAAAAAAAAAAAAAAGCAGCCCACAAAGTGCGCACTCAGCCCTGTACCCCGCAGCTCCAGCTCACCTGCCGCAGGGAGGCTTCGCGCCGCAGCAGCGCCGGGCACCCTCCAACCGCCCGGTGCCCGAGACCCCGCCAAGCCGTCCCGCCG